GTGTACAGTAGAGGCATTCTTATTTCAAGTAATAATACAATTATTTAATTTAATGTAATTTTAATAACACTTCTGCCACCAGTCATAACTATATAAATTTAGTGTCAGTCAGTGAGTGAATCAGTTATTCAATTTAGGAGGTACATGATGTTACATGTTGCTCTGCTGTAACAATGTACCTGTCTAAAAATTTAAGTCAGGTTCTCCAAATTTTACTGGAGACACTTAAAACCTAATTACCTTCCACTAATTCAATTTTAAATAATATTAAGACAGTTGTTTCACAGATTGTAGTCAACAAAGTTGAATCATACATTCAACTCACATTTCGCAAACTCTGTTAAGTTAAATGATTCAATCATTAGTGACTCAATTGGTTTGTCTCAATGACTTAAGTTTATGAAAAAATATAATGATGATGACTAAAGACTAAAGTAAGTTTAGTCTTGACACTTAACAGAAACTAACCCCTAACTCTACTATCTAGTTACACAACAGCCCTAACTCATTCAACAGCCCTAACTCAGTCACAATAACTCAAACTGTAATCAAGAAGAAGAGTTATGAGTCTAACTAGTATTTGGAGCTAACATAAAAAATAAAAATGACAACTGAGAATCAAAAAATAAAATAAAAACTAAGGTAAGACTAAGACGACGAGTGTTTCACTTTAAATTTTCAGCTAAACATCATTTTTTTTATAAAGTATAAAAAGAATAATTAAATAATAGACAATGGAAAAATGCTATACTAATTCATAATAAGGTATTTGATAGGCAATTGATTAGGTTTACTTTACACTTTACTACATGTCATAATAAAAGTGGGCAGGGCCCACACAACTGAGAAGTACTGCTAGAGCTGTGTGCCAAATTTAGTTCACTACTTACCGCTTTTAACGCAGCTAATCTATCCTTCGTCATGATGGCATGCAGTTACTCTGCTCAGGAGGAATGTAATGATATATAAATCCAAATCAAATTAGTGTTCTCCATTCATTCCACTCAGAATAACTCATATCATTGTCTCACTCGTAGCTACAGATCAATAGAATTGTAATATTGGAGAGATGTACGCTCTCCACTTTTTCTGCGCAAGGCTGACTGGTGGTTTCTATTTCCGGTAAGTGAATAAATTTAGCAGCGCCATCTATTTACAAATGATAAGTTGTAATGGCGGCATCTTTCGATTTCCTTCAAAAAATTTATATTTTAACAAAATTATAAAAACTGACGTCTAAAAAAATTACATTCTACATGCACAAAAATATATTTTCATGAAAATTATAATTATATTGCTATAAATTAGAAAATATGAATGATTTTTAAAGTAAAAGTAATAAACATTCGGCCAACCTCCACCAGCCTCAATGTTAATGTTAAATTATAACTATTAACATATACTAAATTTATTTCTTTATTTATTGGGGTTGGGGTGGGGGGAGTAGTTAATCGGGTTTCGTGGAGTTGATAATTTTTGGGGGTTAAAAATGAATCAATAAGATTCTCTATGTATGGTGTAAGTGTAGTTGTGAGCATGGGCGCCCGCAGAAAACTTTCTGGGGGGGGGCAAAAAAATCGATTTAACTTTCCGGGGGGGGGGGCAAAATTTTTTTAGTAATGTTTTAATATAGTTTTAACTTACTGTAGCGTATTTGTATGGTGGACGAACGGACAGGACATCAGCTTAGTTACTTTCTCCCTACCTGCGGGCGCCCATGGTTGTGAGTTAAATACCGCACAAATTAAACTTCTCGATAACTTCATGTTATAAATACATAAATACATGTTCGCTTGGTGCGTAATATTTTATTTTGCATTACGGAAATTATCTAAATTTTAATTATTAATATCATTATTGTAGTAGATTGATGGTGTTTGTTGTAACTGTTGAGATGTCGGTAATTATGAATGACATTGTGAATTATTTTATTATGATAGATGTGTTCCATAGCTCCAGGCAGTGTTTCTTTCAGAAATTTCCCCACAGGGGGGCACTTCAGATTTTTCGGGGGTGGGGGGCAGTGTCAGCAGTTCCAGTTGATTTATTGTTGGACATATTTTTGCTCCGGGGGGGGGGGGCACTTGGCTTTCCCCGGGGGGTGAGGGGACCAGGTGGTCCACGGCAAGTATTGGGGTGGGAAAAGGTTGAAGGAGATGGCGGGTGTTGTGTACGACTGGCACTTCAGATTTTTCGGGGGTGGGGGGCAGTGTCAGCAGTTCCAGTTGATTTATTGTTGGACATATTTTTGCTCCGGGGGGGGGGGCACTTGGCTTTCCCCGGGGGGTGAGGGGACCAGGTGGTCCACGGAAAGTATTGGGATGTGAAAAGGTTGAAGGAGATGGCGCGTGTTGTGTACGACCGAAGGCGGTGCTCTGCTAGTGATGTTATAAATATGCCAAATAATAGGGGTGTAACATTAGCATATACTATAGTTCAGGGGCGTAAAATTTGCAGTTGGGGTGGTGGGTATCCCTAATTGGGATTCTTATAAAGGGCCCTACTTGAATACATGCTTTGTCAAGTCACTTTAGTAGATAGGGAGTTCACGCATTGCCACCGCAATTGTTTATGGGCTATAACTATAGTCAAAATATAATGTTTCAAAAACGATATTTTTGGGATTACATTATATCTACTGGCATAGTGAGGGTGATGGGTGGCCGAGTGGTCTAAACTGTCTAAAACAAAGTCAAGCAAAAACATCACCAGCACCCCGGGTGGATGGAACTCGTTAACCTTGGATGGCAACTCATCTAAGAGAAGGAAACTCTAATTCAAACCCGGAGATGGAGTCTCGTAGGCGGATAACATTGGTACAATGAAACATTAAGACAAATCCTGCGACGCCACTGGTAACAACATGTATCATCCACATGATGTCCCTTGGGTTATCCAGGGGCATGGAGAGAGGCGATTCGCTGTTTCTGGGAATTGTGACGGACAAAAATTTTGATTTCAGATTTATCAACGTACTTGATTAATTAGCTTTAATAGTAATTTTACATACATTTTTTACATAATACACTAGTAAACGTTTTGGCAAATGCATTCGTCAGTATAAAAACAAAAAAAATTAAATAAGTATAAATATATTATATATATCCTAACCTAAAAAAAATAGAAAAAATAGGAGTGGGCGCAAAAGCCAGACAGAAACAAAGTGAAGAAGAATGGAAATGAATTGATTTGAAGTGAAAAAACTAAACAAGAAAAAGACATAGTAGCTAAGTAAATTGTGGATTTGGTTTATCCAATATGGAGCCAATGTAACAAAATCTTGTTTTTAATTTATTTTTCATATACATCATATCGGTACATAACTAGTATACAGTATTCCAGTAACTGCGATGTCTAAAATTGCATAATGTTTAGTGCTATTGAAATGTTTGGAGATCGGACAGAGAGCCTGTTTATTTATGATATAGAGTTGTTCTCTAAACCGGTCTCCAAGGTGACGACCTGTCTCTCCTACATATAATTTACCGCATTTTTTAATTTTTTTTACAAAGTTGGTCTAAATCACGTTGCTAGTTGGGCAGATAAAGCCATATTTTATTCTGAATATTTCCAAAGGGGAAGTGATCTTGTCAAGTTCAATCACGTAGGGACATTTGTTACAACGGCTACGGTTGCAACTTTTGGTACCTTTATGTGTTTTAATAACAGGGAGTTGGCTTCCAAATAGCATGTCCCTAAGGCTCTTGTCCCTCCGGGAAGCGAAAAGAGGTGTTCTGAAAACCGCATTGGTGACAGGGGCTGCCATATGAATTGAGCGGTTTTTCAGAACCAGAAAACGAGCTTTAAGGTTATGGGGATGAAAAGTTAAAATAAATTTAGACATATCCCTAGTGTCAGAAAGAATAGCTTTAAACTTTAAAATAATCCTGTCTGGTCATACTCGAGTGACAGCTGCTTTTAAAATTTGCTCAGGATATAACCTGCGTCGGAAAAAATCCAACATTTCAGACGTCCTTTCCCCAAAAATCCTCATCGTTGCAATTACAATTGTATCTATTTATGTCTATGATAAAGAAATCTTTTTTTCCCTATTAAATATCTAGCACATTAGTTCGAACATATTACATTTTTTAAAAAATCTGTTGTTGTTCGTCCTTCGCATATGACGTCGGCAAAGGCTCTATTTGACAGTAAGTGCGCAGGTGGCTTGTGAGTCCTAATATTTGCCATGAGAGCTTGCAAGCATATGGGATGCAGGTGTTTTGGGGTCCTAGCTGTGGCGGAGGGATCGGCAGTTTCCAGTATAATATAGAGGGGCGGCATTTTCGGTCCACCTATAGAGTTTTTTTTTCATGGACGGGGGCGGCACGAACCCTTACTACACCACTGGGTCATTGAGGTATCCTGCTTCTTCTATTTTAGTTTGAGTCCGCTTTCTTTGGGCGTGAGTAATTGTGACATTCATAATAATTTTTGTGTGTATATTTAAATTTGAGTTTCTCTGATAACCTGCTATTTTAGAATTATATAAAATGATCATAAATAGTATACTAAGTATATAAGACATACGCACTTAACCAGGGGTGCCCGCATGCCTTTAATGTGCGGGAGAGATTCTGGGAGTGCGGGAAGACCTAGAAAATCGGGGTTATTGAATTGGCAATTTTATCAGCATTTTTAAAATAAAGAGGTATTGCGGCGCTGCGAAAAATGGTTAAGATCCCTGCTATTGCTATGCCTATAATGAGCCAATCACAACCGCAAAATTTTAAAAAAAATTATACTAATATATTAATATTTAAGACTTAGATCAATGGAGATTTTTAACATTAACATTATTAATTTGCAATATTTTTTCTTAGATGTTCAATTGGTTGTGCACGTTTATTTAAAACAAATTAATTCATTTGTTTAATTCAGTCACAACAAAAAATAAAATTTAAAAAAAATTAAAATATTTATATTTATTTTAATGAACGATGTGTAAACACTGACTGTTATGTCATTTGTGTTTGTTACCAAGGAAGTTTCGAAGTAAACTCCCTTGCAATCGACAGAGGGCGTGAAGATTCATCAAAATGGCAGCGACCAGGCGGCTCCAAAAAGTACAATAATCATTGTTCTACTTTACAACTTTACTTCTGCAAATATTTTATTTAATTAGTTTCATATTTGATTTACAGACAAAACATTTATAAAAAATATATTTTTATATTTAAAAGGATTAGTCTTATCTGTGTTTTTTTTGCCAAATCATCGTAACGTTGATTCAGGCAAAAAAAAAAAAAGAAACAAAAAAGTCACAAAGTGCATAGCATAGGCATAGGCGACCTACACTAAAACAACTCAGCAACTCATTAATAATTACTAATTAGTCTAGTCTAGTCATATCATGTTACGTCGTTTAGACTAAATCATAATTATTTCAGATAGGCCTATGTGTTTTTCTGATATAATTTACATTTATTACAGGGCCTAAAGTTAAAGGATACTAGTAAAAGTAAAAATGAGTAAATCTCTTAATGAATGAAATCAGAAATAAGTCTCTATTAACTTTAATACTCTTTAACTAATCATGTCTATGACTAACATTATTTTATTGTTTGTAAAAGCAGTAACATTTGGTAATAAAATTGAGTGATTGATGCCTAGCTTATTTCTAATATATTGATTTATCAATAAAGAGAAAGGATTAAATTGGTACACGGCTTATACACGGTACACACTATTTAAACAATTTTTTTTACTAATTTTATCGGTTCTCTTTTAAAAATAATTTAAGTTTCTTTTAATTTTAAAACTACAAAGCCAGCCTCAGTCACTAACCAAAACTTTTCAAGTTTGGTTATAATCTCTTCTTAAATTTTTTTAAATCAGATGTTAAGGGATTCAAAAATAACGAATCACGACAATCACGTCATAATTAACAGTGATAAGAGCCATTTCCAACATCTTGATAGAATCAAATTAACTTTTGATTTAGTGACTTTTCACCCCAGACCCCCTGTTATTATGTTTTCATTATAAAAGTTGTGACCTCCCTATTCTAATGTACAGTTTTTGTGTGTGTTTTTTTTTCATTTTCAAATAGGTTTAGGCGCCCAAAAACATTTTACAACTACCATAAATATAAATTCTACATGTTTTTTTTTATTTGAAAGTGTAAGCTCTGAAACAGGTCAACGTTACAGATTGATATATATTTTTTAATTCTAAAAACTGATTATTGAAGGATAACCTAACATTAGAGAGAGTTATTAGAAAAATACACATTGACACTCGAGGAACGATAACAGGATACTTTCTGAGGGAAACTCAAGACCCACAACCAACGGGCACACTCTACAACCAACCAACTATTAAAGACATATCAAAATCATTTATTGAATTAGAAGACGCATCTCTACAAGCAGGGCTGGAAGTTAACAACCAAAAATCAAAATACATGACCATGATAAGAGAGGAACAAACAGATGAAACAATTAAAATTAGAAACCAAACTTTTGAAAAAGTAAATCAATTCAAATACCCAGGATCCTTGTTAAAAGAAAGAAACGAATTACTAACAGAAATAAAAGAAAGAATATCAGCCGGAAATAGGCATACTTCAGTAGTCAGAAAATACTCAAGTGAAAACATTACAAGAGAAACAAAGAAAACTATTTATAAAACTGTGATCAGTCCAGTTGCAACATATGAAAGTGAAACTTCGACCCTAACAAAAACAGCAGAAAACCTATTAAACACATGGGAGATGAAAGTTCTCACGAAAATATATGGGCCAACAAAGGATGAATATGGATGGAGAATACGAACCAACCAGGAATTATACAGTCTATATCAGAATCCCACGATAGTGGCAGAAATAAAAAGAGGCAGGCCACACTGGGCAGGACACCTAGAGAGAATGCCAAATGACAGAGGAACAAAGAGGGTACATCACCAATACCCCAGAGGAAAAAGGCTCAAAGGCATATTTAGAATTAGGTGGATAGACGATGTAGAAAAAGATCTACAGCAGCTGAAAGTCCAAGCATGGAAAAGAAAGGCATTAGTTAGGTCTGAGTGGAAGGAAGTGGTGAGGCAGGCCAAAGCCCTACACGGGCTGTAGCGCCACAGGGATGGATGGAATATAGAAGGAAAAAATGTGTATAATGCCATCTCAGGATATCTCATTTGCATTCATGTTGAATTTCCATTTGATTCCTTCAGATCATATTAGTTTATTCAATTTCCGACAAGAATGTATATATTTATATATTTGTAAAGTAGATTATTTTTTATAAAAGTTTTTGCTAAGTAAGTGCAGGGCTTGTAAAAAGGGCTCAGTTTTCTTTTTGGCACAGACAGGCTAAAAGCCCCTGTCTTTGTTGTATGTTAGGATATTTATATTACTATTAGTACCAATATGTTTCAACTGCATACTCTAAATGAGTTATTTTCAATGAGTTCTTAATGCATTATTAAATATGTAGGCTTAGAGCTATATTTATATATGTATGGGGATTAAACCATCTTACAAATTTTTATTTAAAAAGAAATAACTTAAATTACGGTACCGGTATTTAAAAAAATTTCCCACTTAATTTACAGTAACCACTCCTTTAAAATGATTTTTCATAATGACTCAGAACTCATTTATAAATTGATGAATGTTTTCAGATGGATGGATGTTCTACATCAAATAAATTTTAAAATTGATCTTAAATTTCAAAAGCCCCAACAATTTTTCATTGTAGGAAGTTTTTTTGATGATTTAATATAGCCATTTAGGATTTTAAATTGCATATTATTTGGATAGATGAGAAGTAAAAATTTGAACAAATTTAAGTTTCTGATGAAAAAGTTATGCTCTTGTTATTCTTATGGTCAGTTAGTGGTGTGCAACCTTCAGGTCACAACCCCAGATGAAATCACACTATTTTGGCTGATCTCTCTCTTCCCCCCCCCCACTGTAACACATTAGATACTTTATCTCACAAAGTCATGAGCCCAGTGATGACATTGTTTGTGGATGGCTTACAAAAGCAACATTTTTACACAGTGATTTAGTAAAACAACTCAACAGGGCTCATGGCCCTTTTAAAAGCTAGACATCATTACTCTAAATCATGTTATAATTATTAGAAAAAAAGGTCTATGGAAGCCTAAGCAGAGCAAAGATATTCAATTTCAAGCCTTCTTTTCTCGAACCACTCACTTTTTTTAAACTGATGCAAAAAAGGGCAACTGTCTGCCTGTACAATGAGAGGTAGAATACTTAATAGTTCAAAACATACAAAGGAAATGATGTCTTCAATTTAAAAATTTTCCTGCCTGGCAATCTCACCAAACTACTCAGTGAGCACAAGCCGGGTCTGTTTTGTCAAAGACCTATATTGAGATTGATTTTTTATAAATAAAATAATAACTTTCATATTATGTATAATCTTAAGAATTTAAATAAAGCAGACATTAATTTAAACACTTTTAATTTTTTTAAAATTATTTGGGGGGGGGGGGGGGTGTTAAAATAATCTGTCTTTTTCAAAATAGGAAATGTTCAAATTTTTTCAAGAATTTTATTTTAAAATTTTTACTTTGCCCCATAATGTCTTAAGTTATTATTAAATTAGAAATTGTTTTTCTTTTAATCAGGAGCTTGGAGATCTCAAGTCACCAAATTCAGTACTTAAGAAGTCATTTAGAGACATATGTGTAGATGAATCTAATATACTCTTATGGCATGGACTAATTGTTCCGGTTTGTATTTCAAATTTAGTGATATAAAATATACATCTACTTATACCTGTGTGGTACATATATACAATTTTAAGTATGCAGATTACTTATATAGACTTTTCTTCTGAAAGGTCAGTCAAGAATTAATGTCCAGTTCTTTTGTAAATCATTTTGTAAGTTGACTTTATTTTGATCATTTAAAAAGTATCAATTTAGTTAGGCTTAAAATGAAATTCTTACAAAAATTTTCATTAATTTTTTTCAATAGATCTACAAATTTTAATGCTGTATTAAGCATGTGAAAGTAATATTGTTTTGATTTTAACAGGAAAATCCCCCTTATAACAAAGGAGCTTTCAAAATAGAGATAACATTTCCAGCTGAATATCCATTCAAGCCCCCCAAAGTGATATTCAAGACAAAAATTTACCACCCAAATATTGATGAAAAAGGTCAAGTGTGTCTGCCTATCATCAATGCAGAGAACTGGAAGCCGGCTACAAAGACAGATCAAGGTGAGGTTATAGCAGACACATTTATTTCTGTAACTGTTTTAAGAAACTTAATGTGTTATGCATTGGTGCATCAGATCGAATCCATCTGCAGTTTTTAGAAACTCTTATCACAAAGTATCCAAATTTGTTCGAAAACTCTTCTTATGCATATTAATCACGCATTGTTGTGCATAAGCAAATCACCATGTTCTGCACATCTCATTTAAGTAACTTTTAAACTCGATGCTACAATGATGAAAATAATTGCTTCTCTTGAAGTTTTTTTTTTACTTTCATGATATCAATTTGGGTTGACCTGCAAGACAGAGTCCACATTGACAGTGGTAGTAGGCATGTTCTTAGTTCATCAATGAGTCCATTTTTATGTTAGTGCTCTGTATGAGACTACTTTAAAAATGTTAATATTTTTTTTTACATTTTCAGAGATGGTCTGAAGGCCTCTTGAAATGGCCTTGGGGGGCCAAATTTTGCTAGTGGGGGCCAAATTTTGCTAGTAGGGGCCAAAATTTGCTAGTGGGTCAGACTCTTTGAGTACCCCTGCTCTAAGGCATAGGCTAATTAATCTAATTGTGCAGAGACGTTTTGTCAATAAATGGATTTCATTCGACTATATTAATTAATATCTGAAGACAATTTTGAACTTTTTCAGTTGTGAGCTCCCTTATTGCCCTGATCAATGATCCAGAACCAGAGCACCCACTTCGTGCAGACCTCGCAGAGGAATACACCAAGGATAGGAAAAAATTTATGAAAAATGCAGAAGAACATACAAAAAAATTCAGTGAAAAGCGACCAGCAGACTAACAATGAATAGATTACTTACACTCTCAAGTCCAATAACCTGAAAATCTTTGACAAGGACAGCATCTTATGTAACACGAAGTGGTGATGATGTACATTCACTTGGAGCTTTCCTCATTTTCATATGTTTTCCTTTTGTTTTCCTGTTTAAACCAATCATCCGAAACAAGTGTGACTGATGTGCATGTATAAGCTCAGACCTTGACTTTAGATGTTAAAAATGAGGGTTAACTGTTTTTGAAAAAGATTCATCTTATTTAGCTTTTTTCCTTTCTTTCATGCATTCATCTGCCTAGACAATTTGTGATGCTGACATTTTGTACTTGACTACTCAGGTGTAATGTCATAAATAAGAAGAATAGGTAATAATATTCCAATATTTATTTTAGATATAGAGTAAACTATTGCTATGTTGGCTGGTGTTTTTAGTAAAACGCTCTTAGCTCATGTTGTAAACCTATTCTATTCAAATTTGGAATGAAAATGTTGAATAATATATTGTGATTTATTGCAGTCTTAAAACACGCATATAATTTTGAAGGAAGTTCAGTTCTCCTCTTGTCTCGAATACATTTTATAAATGATCTTAATCTTACTTAGTGTTAATATATTTATTTTCGGCATGCAATAGTTTATCGCTGCCATAACCAAGTGTTTCACATCCGGTATTTATTTTAAAAAGGACTTAGAAAGAATGATGTGAATTGAAATAACTTCTATTTTTGTGTTGGCTGACTCCACTTTGACAACAGTGTGGAACAAATTTTGAGTTCCCTTTGAGTACCGTATATGAATACAATACAATATCACAATTATCTCACCCTTTTCCAAATGTAGCGCTAATGAATGGTAGTCATGCCTTTAACAACTACCCCTCTTTTCCATTTGTAATAAATTTTATGTGTTGTAGATCAAAAGTGAAAATCTTTTAAGTATAATTATTATACTTTATTGATATACAGTACAGTAACTATAAAACTGGTAAAAAAAAACTGTTTTATAAATTTACACTAATTTTTTTAAAAATTTGATTTTCGGTAACTGACTAACTACATTTCCACATGTTATGTGTAGAGAATCACTTGTAACCTTTAACTCATTTAAAGAGAAGAAACAGAATAAGGAATTCTTTTTAACATTTATCACATCACAGAAACATTCATTGCATTTCCTTTAAAGTTTTTAAGTAAGAAAAAATAATTTATTGGTTAAAAAAAAATCTTTTGTACATATTGCCTTTGACTTATCAGCCATATTTTATGTATGATAGGTTATTTTCAAGTTAGGTTGTAGTTTTATAAATTTCATTACCGTGGTTTGTTAACATCAGTTTTCTATGTACCGGTACAAAAAAGATTTTGAATCTATAGTAAAAAGTCAGGAAGCATATTTGTACATTAAATTTTAAATTTTCTATCCCTGACTTGGGCAAACAGAAATAATTGCAAATAGTAATAGGTTGAAAATCTCACCAGCAAATGTAAAAATAAAGCGATGCCATATAAAAGAAGTTTATAATTTGTTATTTTTGCTCATTGAGATTGTGGTATTGAAAAAACACTAACAGATGATAGTTTCAGTTGTACAATCTTCAAATGAGATGAGCATCAAACAATTATTTGTCACTTGTCTGGTTCACTTCATACAATCAAGTGTATGATCCCATGTTTGTCATACCGAGAATCTGCAGAGAATGTCATGCCATGCTGATAAAACCTGATTGTTACTTTTTTCCTTGGAGCTGACTTTTTGTCTGATGCACTGTTACTATGAACGTGTGACTTAAACTTACTTAAATCTGATACCTTTCTTAAATTTGAATATTAAAAATGTTTTAGTTGGACATAAAAATTCAAAAAAAATTTCTTTAAGTTTAAGGTAATAAAACAACTCATTGTGAAATAATTTTGATGTCAGTTGTCAGCATAGGGTTATTCCTGACTAATAGTAATAGACCAACATTTATTTTTTGAGTCCAGTTAGACTGCTGACTCCCTCTGATTATCTATTTCGCTGGTGTTGTTTATACTGCTTCTTGGTCTTCTTTTAAAACTTGTGACTCAGAAACTTGATAAAATTATTCTTTTTTTTCCCCTGCATGCCCATAACTTGGAATCATCTCTATTTCATTGAAATTTTCATTATTTCAAAATGAAATAAAAAATAGCACAGATCCCTAATTTTATACTGCCATAAATGTTGAATTATAAATTTTTTAACTAGATTTGTCTGTAATTTGCAATGCTAATAATGAATATTTTTATAACAACATGGCTTGAAGAAATCTCCTACTACTAATGCTATGCAAAATAGATGTCTCAACAATATATTGTCAGTGTGCTAAACTAACTTGGAAAAAGAAGCATGTGAACTTTCAATGCTGACATTTATGATTTATACCATGCCAATCACTTATGTTAACATTTCAAGTACCATTTGATTTGACAAGTAGAATTTGCACTGGCATTTATAATAAGGTAGAGATAATATTTTGACTGGTTAAAGGAAAAACAGTTTCAAAAAGGAGCACTAGCCGTGTTTGTGAACGCGTTTGTTTGCCAAATTTCCAAAACCTATGTCGTGATTTCTGTTCGATTTATTTGTTCAATAATTTGACATTAAACATAATGACTAACACAGTGATGTGGGTAAATTCCTTCACTGTCTAAGTTTGTATATTTATTTATGTTGTTAGTAATTTTGTGGTATAATTAAACATAATTTTGAAATTTAAGTTTTTGAAATTTAAGTTCTGAATTTTTTTATTTTGTTTAATCTGTAAAAATTTTGGGGACATTTTTTTAGATTGACTGCACCAGGTCTATTGCAATATGACAAACCAATTTGTAAAAGTACAAATAAATTAAATGACCTATTTAATTGTGTCAGTGTTCATAAATCTGTAAAATACACAAAAAGCTCTTATAGTAAAAAATAAAATTTCCTGAAATTTTAGTCTCAAAACCTTTTTTTTGTACATATACAATAAGGAATTTTTTAAAGAGTGAAAATTAAAATAACCATGATGTTGTACAGTTCTTGTTAAAAGTCCAACATGATATTAATTATTTTTGAAAAGCCATGTACCGGTATTTTACTTGTAAAAATTAAGGTTTTTATGAAACCTGAGTATATATGTGTTGTGCGTCACATCTAATTATATTTGAGGGACAATTTTAGGATTTTTTTGGCATTTCAAATCGTATTACTGATGTGTCTCATTTAGCAATTCATTTCTATTTTCAACTATTTTAAAGATTGGTATGAGAGTATGGTATATATAGGCTGTAATGACCATGAAACCACAAAGCTAACCAACCAAAGTCAGTTGAATTATTAAAAATTACTTGAAGATAAAATTACACGGTTTCATTAATTTAATGGATAACTATAAAAAAACAAAAAACATCCTACATAAAATTTAACTTTTGCACTACTAGACTAGAAATGCAGTAGCAATGTATGTACCGGCACCAAAAAGAAGAATCTCTGATCCTAGAATTCTTAGTCCTCTGCCTCGTACATTTTGAAGATCATCTAATTAATCTAAATCTAATGTGAAATAAAATCTTTCATGAGCTTAAAATGGCACCCCAAAAAATTATAGTTATTTTTTACCAAAGTTTAGGTTAAAACAATTTCAAATCTTAACACACTGTGGATGATAAAGAAAGATTATCTCACTTTTATCTCTTTTATCTTCACCCCTCTGAATACTGCACAAGAAGTTAGGAGACCAGATACTCATTTCATTTGATTTTAAAAAAGCTGTGTTTAGTTGATCCACTCATCACGAGGTTGTAATGAAAATAAATACCTTGACTATATTATATTAATTAATAGTAATAATTTACAAAGTGAACAAGCTATGAACATTATGATCACAAATAATCTAATAAGCTAATAGTAAGATTGGCATAAAATATGTTTATTTTTCTAATTATTTAACAACCCTACAGAAATTCTTATTTTCAACAACTTCAGTTAACAACCATTTATTCAAGAAATGGGGTGGGGGAAGTATAAAATGTGCCACAAGACTTGAATTACCAAACACTACAAATTTTTATCTCTACAAGCATGTCAAAATCTTGCAACACACCTTTGAACCTACTGCAACACTTCAGTCGAGGACCACTGCACTTGCCAATAAAAAAGTACACTAACATGATACAAAACAAATAAAAGCATATGATAGATTCAAAATATCATCGTTATTTACCTTTGGTAAAATGTCAAAACTGCCATTGTGGCACTGTTCAGCATTTTTTTATATTTTCTTCCTTAACCCAGACCCCTAACTATTTCAATACCAATATTTACATGAGGACCTCTCATCCTGACAGCACATTCAATCCTTAGCCATAAATAACACAAAATCACTGGCAATCATCTTGTCTCAATAGATCTCAACTGTTTCTTTTTCATCCTCTTTATTTTAGCTGTATTTTTTATCTGTGGAATAAACGTGAACATCTGATCAGGCAAACATGTAACGCAGATGCATGTTCCTTAAAACTTACAATTACAATGAACAGTATTTCAATAGGAAAGTTAACAGTAAAAGTAGCTCTGGTTTTACTCGCTACTACAACTTAATAACTTATAAAAAGTGAAGATCAGATAAAAGAAAAAATTTTAAACTTTTCTGTGGGCAGATTTGGTGCACACCTTATTTTAGGGAAGCCAGAAAACCTATAGCTTCTTAACTAAAAGTCTTATAAAATATAAACACTATATGAATTATTATATAGTTCAGAGTCTAGGAAAGAGCGTTCATAACACATTCAATTCATTACTACTTTTCTATAATTGTACATAAATTCAGTTAGGGATGACCAAATTTGTACTGGTATCCACTCATAATATAAAAGTGTATTGAAATAATGGCTAAAATACAAAATGATATTGAAAAACTTGTACATACATTGAATGTATGTGCTAGAGGAGAACATTTATAGATTGCAACACATTATCACCATTAAATGGTTAAAATAAATTTCATAGACATCGGAAAAACATTACTATCCTTCATGATCTCTTTGCTAACAGTAACAGAACACTTGTTAAATCATTCATAAAATGTAATTTTTAAGAATGTCTATTTTTGCAACAGTGGTAAGTGTGAGAAAAATTTCACAAAATATTTGGCTACTTCATTTAACCAAGCTGAACATTTAAAACTTACTGGTTGCACAATTTCAGATTTTCGCTGGTTTTCAAGTTTCCGTTTTTTGTTAGCCTCCATTCTTTCCCTTCTCAGCTGAAACATATTTAAAAGAATATAAGTCTTTAATCACTGTAATATCCCTCTAGCTCAAAGAAAATGTTCAGTAAAACTACAATACTTCCTGATATACTGACTGCTAACAAAACTGAACAGATCATTCTTTTCACTTAGGCTTTTTGGTTTCATTAAACTCCAGTCTGAAAGCCTACAAGCCCTCATGATCAGCAAGGTTAATTTTGAAAATTTGGGTCTAAAAGCAAGTCAATAATTAAGGGTAAATATGTAAAAAAAACATTTCAAACAAAACATTCTAAGTAATACAAGGCATACTTGTTTTTCTCTATCTTTTTCGGTCTTCAGATGTTCCTGCAGCTCTTTAAGTCGCTTTTTCTCATCTCTTAGGGACACTTTCTTGTCCCAAGAAGTTTTAAACATTTTATCTTTCTTTATAGTTGAAAATCTAAAGAAGAGACAAGTAATAAAAAAAGTTTAAAGTTAAAGTATAAAAAAAACTTGAATTTAAAATGTTGAATGTAGCGTTAGATTTATTATTGTCATAGACACATTGATCTGTGCAAAAATGCATGATTTGATTATTGAGGGAAAAAAAGAAAGTAAAAAAGTGAATCTGTTTTTGACTAAGCAGGAAAATAAAACTCAAAAGTTTATGAATGTATGCTATATATTATATATGTATACAGTGTCTTCAACATAAAAGCATGGGGTTAATCGAAATAGGAATATATATACATAAAATATATTATAAACTACACAATTCGTAAACACAATACAGAAAAGAAAAATAATTTAGAAAACGGCTGCTCTTACATGCAGTAAGTGTATGGATCGCCTTGATTTTTTAAAATAATTTGAAAATCTCTAAAACTAAAAATTCAGTATGTACCGGTATTCTGGTGAGGACATTTTTTTTACCTCAAAGTAAAAAAAATCTTATATAAAATATGATTGGGAATCAGATAAGCATATATACTATTAATTTAGAATACAACAAATAACAAAGATTGTTTGGTAGACCATTTTTAACATAGTTGCACAATGCATGAGTGAAATGTTTATTAATCAAAATTAATTAGGGTCACGTCTTTCACCATTAAGTAAACCAATAGACCTGGTTGACTCAATACTGCCATTAGGGCCCATCTAATTCCTCCAAAAACCCTCATGCACTTTGCTCGTTAAGGTGTCTGGCAAAACTGCAATATATGTGTCTGCTAAATTTACTGCTGCTCTCACAGTTAAAAAGTGACCCTGATGACAGCCGGTAAGCTTTTGAAAATTTAGGCTACCAATGGTCAAATTCAGATATTATAAATGAAAGGTTATTCAAAAATAACCAAATCTTTAAATTTATTGTGGTTATTAAATTTCATACTTTTTATGCTAGATAAAAATAAAAAAGTGCCTTTGTAATTTTTATAATGTAGGCCATATAATATGTACTTTTCTAAATGAAGTTACGCCCCTTTGCTTAAGTGAGTTTTTGGCAGGATTTCGCACCAGGTGGATGTAAGAGGACATTTCAGAGGACGGGAGGAAAAGGGATTATAAAAACAAAGGAGACTCCAGCTTTTAAGTTAGAAGATATAATGTTAATAACTTTTTAAAACATTTCTTAGCATTGTCCTTTACATAATTTGAATAGTTGATACTCAATATGGTAATCTTGCAGTTCAGATGCGTATATTATTTCTGATCGAATTATCGCATGTTAACTTATGTGTATTCTTCATTAAATTAAATTCAGGCAGTGATAGTTAACTATTACTGAATTATACAGCGCTTATTTTTGGTTTATTTTAATTCTAAAGCATCTTTAAGCATCCCCAACCTTCCATAGATCCATTTGTTTTGTATTTTTTCCATCTGTTGCCAGATTTTTGAACACCTATAAGTTAGTATGCTAAACAAAATTTTCAAATTGCAGGCATGTTCACAAAAGGAATGAAATACTGGAGTGTGTGTGTGTGTGTTGTTGAACTCAATTAGTTGTTCCGTTATTTTATAGGGGCCCAAAATTATTGTTTTTCTTATATGAGGTATATAAATATAATTCCAAACAAAGGCTCCTGCATGGGCATGGGTGAATGGAACGAGATAACACTTAGTACACATACACTTGATTTTGATTATCCATATTCAAAAACCGGTACTGAAGGGTATTGACTCATAAGTTTACTTTTTCCTAAAACTAGCCAATGTACACACCAATTTTATATAGATTTATTTGGTGAACATGCTTTTAGTTTGAAAAGTTAAGCATCAATAGAAAATTTTGGTATAATTTATTATAAATCTAATTTCTTGCTTTGTTTTTTTGGGAATATGCTTTCAGTTGAAAAATAGCAATATGGCATGTATCATGAATTTAAACAAAAAAGAAAATGGACAGATCATTTTATCGGCTATGTACCAATGGGTACTGTAAAAATCAATAAAAATAAAAGTTAGTGCTGTACAATTTAACTCCGCCGTAGCCGGTCCCAAGCCCGGGTGAGAAAGGAGGAGGGTTGGGCGAAGGGCTAGCAACCCTTCCCTGTAAAAAAAGCCCTGCTACAAAAACACAAAGAAAGATTTCAAAAGGAAACTCGGACCTTGGAAAGGATGGGTCTCCTAACAGAGAATTAATGAAGCTGGGTGGCCAAAGCCAACTGGAAACCAACCGGCGGACAACCATCCTCTCCACTAGGACCACCACCAGTCTAGGAACATGGAACGTAAGGACCATGTTCGAAACTGGAAAAACTGTCCAAGTTGCTGCTGAAATGCAAAGATACAAACTAGCCATCTTGGGAATAAGTGAGTCTCGATGGATAGGCTCAGGTCAGATAAAGCTCAACACAGGGGAACTGCTGCTATATTCAGGCCACGAAGATGAAAATGCGGCACACAACCAAGGAGTGGCACTCATGCTTTCCAGAACTGCCCAGAACGCACTTATAGGGTGGGAAGCGCATGGTTCCCGTATAATCACGGCAAGATTTAAGACAAAAAAACGAAAAATCAATATGGACATCCTACAGGTGTACGCTCCTACCAACGATAGTAAAGAAGAG